TAAATTCGCCAAAACCGTTGTTTTACACCAAAAATTGACTAGTTCCTAGCTTTTTCTATACTAAAAGAAGCCATGACACGGTCTTTTGCTTCGCGCGTGCGCATAACTATGCGGGGGACAAGAATTCCTGCGAGTTACACAACTGTATATCCTTAAACTGTGACGTTATGCGCATGCGCCAGTGTGAACTACAAGCTCTTGATTGGTCGAGACAAACATTTGTATTTTCAAACGTCAATGAATAAGTGTCATTCAGTAAAATTTTGATGAAATTTACAAATTTATATTTTCATAAATATGGAATATATGTATTTTTACTAAATTAGAGGAAAACTCGAATGAGGTCAGGACTTTTCACGGTTTAACAAATAACAAAACCAAATTTTCGACTGTGTATAATGATGTCGGAAGATTTTACACTTGATAATATTTCATCCGGCACAGCTTTTTGTGGTAAACACAACTTTAATATTCTCAAATGTATTTCACTATAAATCTGAATGTGTTATGTGATAAACAGCATTATAATTTCATTATAAACTCCGTTTTCATAATGACAAAAAGAAAGAAAATCAAAATATTCCCGTGCAAAAACCAGTCGAAGCGTAACATAAAACTTCGGAAGTTGTATGAGACGTCTGATGTTATATTTCATGGTATTTAATAATTAAAATAATTTACCATAACACTGACTTTAGATGAGTAACTTAACTTCCAGAAAAAGGTAAGAATCTTGTCGTATTTTTGCAATTTTTTCACAAAAATATGAGGGTAAACCACTGAGCTATATAATAATTCCTGGAGGACTTGCTCCTAATGTTTTTTGCTCGAAAAGTGAAACAAAAAACATGGCGGATTTTGGCCTCTGTGACGTCATTTTGACGTCACCTGGTCCCGTTTGCTCATGGTAATTACCACTGACCAGGCTCAATTCTGAGCCCGCTACAGTAAATCCCCCCCTGGTTTTATGAATATTTTGTTTCTTCCGACTGCCGTGAAATAACCTTGTTGTTCTGTTTTTTCGATATATTTTTTACCTAACCCGTAATAAAGCGTTTATTTCGGTTATGTACAAATCATAGGTACTGTTTTTGCAAATGCCGAAACAAACAAATATTGGGCGAACATAAAAAATATCTAATACGTGGACGAAAGTCGAAAATTTTACAATGATATGAAGCTGACAGGTTTTTTCTCTTTTCTTTGTTTTTAATTTCAATATACATTACTGTATAAATATTTTTTTGGGCATTGTCGTAATTTTTTAGTGTCTTTTATGGATACCAATCTGACTTTTCTTAAACCCTGAACTAAAGAATACAGAAAGTATCCAGTTATGACTGTTATGTTGTCTTGTGTCCATGCCTGTGCATATTAAATCTAAAGAAACAAGGCCTAAGCTCATGCAAGATATTGGGCAGCAGATTAGCAATTGTACTGAGTGGGGGATACAATAGTTATAACCAGAAGTGATATTTACATGGCATATATTTATTTAGGTCATACCTTGTGCCTCAATGAGCTACAGACAATGTATACGCTTTTTGTAATGCACCTTAGTTTAAACCTGTAAAGGTGTCCCTGTGTGACCTAAGAAAAGTCATTGATGATTTGCATTTGATATGAAATTATACCTAATAGCAGGAGTAGTACAAATATAATAGCCTAATGAATTCACAAAAATGCAACTGTGCTTGTTCACCCCTCCATTAGTCAGTCTATTATCCAATAACCCTGATTAGCCCAATAATTTTAGCCCTTTAATGTTGTGTGGGGGAAATGCGTTGTCCAGGAAATTATAAAAGTTGTTGCAGATTGAAGACACACTGCTCAATTAATGCATTTTTTTATGCATTTATTTATTATTTTTAATCTGAAAAACCATTGTAAAAAAATGTCAGCCAACAACAGCCAACAACAGGCAACAAGTCTATATAGTAAAATTATCAGTACAATGTTTCAGTAACTTGCATAAGAAGCTATCTCTTGTTAAATTCTATAACATCTTCATCCTGAAAAATCAATGGAGATCTTATTAAGATTAACTGTACTCAATATATACAGTACTCTGCACCCATTGAGAATAACAATAATACTAATCAACCTTAAGAGCAAATTAAATGTAGATTAATTATAAACAAGGTGCAAGAAGTCCATTAAACCATGATAAATTGACTTTTGACAAGGCAAACGTTACAAGATAACATATAGACCTTTAACAGCCACTACAAGTCTACCAGAGGTTGAATCTTAGAGTGAAATATTTTGTATCAGCAGTCAGCACCTCAAAATTCAAAAGATTGACTATTGATAACTTTCTGACACAAAAAAGTTTTCCTTTGAATCCTATCGTAATTAAGTCGCGTACCAAAGGTCAAAAAGGTTAATAAAAGCATATAACTATTTATCCAGACGCTTTTGCAGTTGTTTATACTATAGTCCGAAAGAACCGGCTCACCTGAGGCAAAAATAGCTTTCCCCATAATAAGTGAATTAAGCCATTCACAACGTCATATGTAGAGCAAAAAGCCGCTTTTCCATTTACTTTGTCGAACAGGGAAAAAGATAAACAATTTTATCTTTTTTACAGGAAATACGAAAAAAATATATACCTAAAATCAAAAATATTTTCGTAAAAACCAGGAGGGAGACACATAGTTTTTGACTTTGTATCGCGGTATGTCAGTGGTAATTACTATGGGCAAAGGGGACCAGGTGACGTCACAAAGCTCAAAATCCGCCATGTTTGTTGCTTCACTTTCTGATCAGGAGCCGGTCCTCCAGAAATTATTATATAGCTCAGTGGGGTAAACTTTGATTCTTAAAAAATATACGGCCGTTGTGTGGTTGTAGCGAGTTGCTATGACTACAGTGTTTCCACGTGTAGAAAAATATTTCCATACTTTTCTCAATTTCTATTTCTCACATACCCTTCAAAACCCCTAACCCTCATAAATTTTCTAACAATCATGTTACCATCCTATACGCTTAACTAATTTCATTTCACCGAGGCGAGGGGTTGGTGCATGCATGTATTTCTAGTAATTACCTAATTGATTTGGGTGGTTTTCTAAACACTTTTTTAAGGCTTGTATCTAAGACAAATTAAATATTATATAATAACGTTAAGAGTTCATGCACTTTCAATTCAACCCATGATCTATAAGAGGACAGATGCACGGAATTACGTCACAGATAATTTTAACAAATTTGATCGGTCATCTCTTGTTTTATTTTGTCAGCTAATCACATTTTAGCACGTGTCTTAAGCTAGCCAATAGCATTGCTTCAATTCTATAGATCATGTACGGGTGATATGAGCAAAGTTTTCCAAGTTTGGGAAAACTATATATCTGCCTGCTCAATTTCGAAATTTTTTCGTGCCCGGCGGCTCGTGCTCATTTATTTTGTTTTTATCACAAATTACGTCATATCCCGTATATCTATAACTGAACAGACAACGGTTCAATGTTATATATCTATTTGTTAAATACACCAGATGAAGAAATCATATCTGGTTCAGTCAGTGTTCTTTGTCATTGATCACTGTTTTAGATGCTGTGTCTTTTACTGATGTGCTAAGCGAATTAACAGCAGCAGTCGATAAAGAGGCACGGAATATTCCACGCAAGAAGAATATTGGGTGGGTGCGTGATCGCTCTCTTCATGATATTGTTGATTCCGGTAAACGTTTGATTCTTTGTTTATGTCATGTTATTTTACGATGTCGATTGAGGTTGAATTAAATTAACGTTTTTAGCGAAACTAATGTCATTAATGCAAACAACATGCTCTAAAGTGAAGTCAAAGGACTGAAACTACAGTTTATTTATTGCATGTCTTTTCAAAAGAAACAAGGACATTACATGACTGTGCCACTCATTATTATATGCGGAAGTCCTTCAGTAACGTTTTCAGGCCGGAATCTCAGTTCTTTTGTGTCCACATCGTAGGCGGAGTTGAGTAATAATTTCAGAAAAAATAACAAAATAAAATAATTGTCTCCCACGCACACGTTCTTTCGATTTTGACAATACCTGATTGAAAAGAAAGAGACCCTACCTGTGCTTGACGGACGCTATATGTGGATCGAGACCCGGTAAAACCAACGTATTTAGCAATCTAAATCAAAAGAACTTGAACTGGTAAGTACGCTATTAATACACTAAGTACACAATAATATTGCCACATATATTAATTAAGTACTAAAACTATATTGGACAAGACATCAATGAAAATAAATCTCTACATGTGTGTGATCAGGGAAGACAGACTTGACTTCATTCGTTTTGTATTATTTTGTATTCAGACTGTATTTAGGCATCGCTAAACAGCTTATTATTTTACAGTTGAATAGCTTTATTGTATAATATAATTATAATATTGATATTGACATTGATAATCGACCAAAGCTTTCAAGTTGATTTTCGTACCAAATTTACCATATCCTGCCCGATATATCGTAACGGCACGTGGCTAATAATTAACATTGCCCCGATTTACACTAGAAACGGATGATCTTTTTAGACGTATTTATAGCCAAACGAAAGATAGTTCGTCTCCTGCAGGGTCTAAAAAAACGCAATATTTATGAATACTCAATCTTCGTCCGAATAGAAAGCGACTTAAGCTAGGCCCAAACAGGACGCGAAGCATCACAGCATTGAAAATGTATTATCGTTAAGAAATCTACAAGAATATTAGGGTAGATTAACATTTTATTATACATCGCGTTACCAAATTGCGTCCTGTTCTGTGTGGGCCTTTTTAAGAGAAGTTTACTGCTGATACTCCCCTCCACACACAAACACACACTCATGGAGTTCCGCGTGCCATGCACAATTTATTTTGCCCGCAAAACTAATTTTAGTTTTAGAGGTGTGACCAGACCAGACTAGTTCTTGCATATTTATGCGGGTGAGCAATCATTGCACTATACTCTACATGCAGTGCAGGAGTACGATAATCTTTCATCCCCATATTTCGGTAATTTGGAACAGGTAGTGTCCTAAAGGTCGTGTTCTCGACGCTGTTGATTCCGGTAAGCGTTTGATTCTTTGTTTATGTCATGTTATTTTACGATGTCGATTGAGGTTGAATTAAATTAACGTTTTTAGCGAAACTAGTCATTAATGCAAACAACATGCTCTAAAGTGAAGTCAAAGGACTGAAACTACAGTTTATTTATTGCATGTCTTTTTAAAACAAACAAGGACATTACATGGCTGTGCCACTCCTTATTATATGCGGAAGTCCTTCAGTAACGTTTTCAGGCCGGAATCTCAGTTCTTTTATGTCCACATCGTAGGCGGAGTTGAATAATAATTTCAGAAAAAATAACAAAATTAATTGTCTCCCACGTACACGTTCTTTCGATTTTGACAATACCTGATTGAAAAGAAAGAGACCCTTCCTGTGCTTGACGGATGCTATATCTGGATCGAGACTCGGTGAAACCAACGTATTCAGCAATCTAAATCAAAAGAACTTGAACTGGTAAGTACACTATTAATACACTAAGTACACAATAATATTGCCACATAATATTAATTAAGTACTAAAACTATATTGGACAAGACATCAATGAAAATAAATCTGTACATGTGTGTGATCAGGGAAGACAGACTTGACTTCATTCGTTTTGTATTATTTTGTATTCAGACTGTATTTAGGCATCGCTAAACAGCTTATTATTTTACATTGAATAGCTTTATTGTATAATAATATTATAATATCGATATTGACATTGATAATTGACCAAAGCTTACAAGTTGATTTTCGTACCAAATCTACCATATCCTGCCCGATATATCGTAGCGGCACGTGGCGTATAATTAACATTGCCCCGATTTACACTAGAAACGGATCATCTTTTTAGACGAATTTATAAGCAAACGAAAGATAGTTCGTCTCCTGCAGGGTCTATAAAAACGCAATATTTATGAATACTCAATCTTCGTCCGAATAGAAAGCGACTTAAGCTAGGCCCAAACAGGACGCGAAGCATCACAACAGTGAAAATGTATTATCGTTAAGAAATCTACAAGAATATTAGGATAGATTAACATTTTATTATACATCGCGTTACCAAATTACGTCCTGTTCTGTGTGGGCCTTTTTAAGAGACGTTTACTGCTGATACCCCCTCCACACACAAACACACACTCATGGAGTTCCGCGTGCCATGCACAATTTATTTTGCCCGCAAAACTAATTTTAGTTTTAGAGGTGTGACCAGACCAGACTAGTTCTTGCATATTTATGCGCCTGAACAATCATCCCACTATACTCTACATGCAGTGCAGGAGTACAATAATCTTTCATCCCCATATTTCGGTAATTTGGAACAGGTAGTGTCCTAAAAGTCGTGTTCTCGACGCTGTTACATTCATAATACAATCATTACAAGTATACCGAAGTTCAGTATCTTGCGTTCAGGTTGAGATCGTTAATTGCAGTAGACAGCACAGAGACATCAAAGAAGCATCACATGACATGAAAAATGCGTTTCATAATAATTCTTTCCATCATCCTTTTTCTTTCTTCTCAATTGTGGATTTGCCGAGCCCGACGTAAGTATTAAGGTATTTTTTATGGTTGCATTTAAAAGATTTATTTAAATTTTAAATATATATCTATATACAAAATGTTCTTGCTCTTAAAGACAAAGGATTGCCCAACACCGCTGCATGTTTGTAGTTAGTAGCGAATGAAATTAATTAAAACATGTCTTCAAGCGAATTTATTTATCATGACACTTCGAGTAGCGACAAATGAAATAAAAATTCGCTTGTACCTAGAAAATTAATGACATTAACCATATTTACAAATTACAAAAATATATGGATAACAATATATAAATGCTAACAAAGATATATGTAATCTATGCACAAAGCTGACAATACTTTACACATCCATAGCCCATGGGTTTGGCATAGTTAAAATTATAACACGCTTAAATTATAACAATAGATTAATTTCTAAAGGTCCTCTTTCTGTATACACCCTGTATACCATTCACAGGACGTTTTTCACGAAAATCTCCTCTGATATGAATCTGGTCACAGATCAGGGTTGGTAGATAATATAATATAAGATATATAAGATATTACATGGTTGCGAGTATATTTTTTAAATTATAGCTTAAACTTTACAGTAGAATATATTTTGCTTATCTAAAGATTACTTTTAAGTCTTTTAATTTGTATTTCCAACGTTAATTTCGTTTTATATACGAACTAAACACCATTTGTATTTTCAAAACAAGAACAATGAAAATAGCGGGAAATTATCGAAATTTTTGAACGTGGCAAAATATCTGCATTGTACCCAGGATGCAGTGGCGTATGAGTTCTAGGAGTGTTTTAGTTCTCAGAAAAATACTCTAATGAATTTAATAAAGCTCCATATTTGAGGCTAAGCAACATCACACTAGTTCTTTGTTTTCTTTGCGTTGGTCTTTGGTTTTCTTTGTTGTCTAGATAGCACTAATGCATGACCATGCATTCTCAAATATTTGCCTAGCTTTCAACTCTGTCACAGACGCGTTTCTAGTCCCAATTCTCCCGTGAAACCTTCCAGTCTAACCAGACGAGTAAGTTGCTTGGGAATCCCATCGAGAAGCTCGTATTAAATTCGCGGAATAAATCAGATAAATCAGACGAGTTTCTCAAATATCAACACAGTCATGGGCGGAACAAGGCTAAATATCAAATAAACAAAATGTTTATCGTAATTACGTACTTATAAATTTCCATCCCTATTCATTTTAAGGCGAGGTTTTACCACAAACTTTCCCGTCTAAGATGAGTTTCCCGCCCCTTATATGAATTCAGCTAATAAAGTCGAAAGGAACGATAAAGCCGACGACTAGCTGGTTGAGTGAACTCTGCTTTACGCCTGTTTCAGACGTTGAACTTTACGACGTCTGAAACAGGCCTTAGTTCATAAAAATATGCTTTTTTAGCTCATGAGCATGCTCAGAGATTTCGGTGCAAAAATATTTCTTTCTTCACAGATTGTCGGCAAAACTGGAAAAGATTCAATTCTTTCTGTTATACATCTTGATTAGTACTTGGAGGAACTTCCAAAGTGCAATTAATGAATGTCGAAAACAGGGGGGTCAAAACCAAGGCGGTCAGCTTGCCAGACTGATTAGCCAGCTTTTGTTCACGCGTGCCATTTGCACCGAATATTCAACATGTGGAAAAATTTGGTGCCCAAGAGCATAGTTGTACATATGTGCAGGCGAAGAGAGCAAATTTCTACCATAACAAGCTATTAGTATATTTTCGGTATTGAAATATGGCCTTTGAGCATTCTGATTGGCTTCCTCAGCAGTAACTCTGAGGCAATAGTTACTGCTCAGAGCAGTCTGAGCAGTAACTATTGCTTTTTCCCAAAAAAACATGGCTGAAAATACTCAAAATCGTTTTGGAAAAATTTCAGTACCAGAAATTAAGAACACAAAAGCCCCTGGCACCCCTGCAAATGGTGTGAGATTATTTAATAAAGGTAAGAAAAGACTCTTTTACGTATATTTAACAATTTGTTTTACAATTCAAAACTGTTAGGAGCGACAAAGTATTAGGTCGCGTGACTCAAAAACGAAAGTAAGTTATTTATGCAAATTATATTCATAAAATAAACACGTGTATCAGTTGAATTTATAAACAAGACGCCTACTAGGCGTTATATGATCGCGTCGTTCACAGCGGCGTAGCCAGCCCAGCTATGCAAATTTTGTGTCGTAAATGTTCTTAATAATAAAAATGAACACTATACCGAACTATAGTTGCATGTTGAAAGCAGGAGAAACACACAACAGCCCATTTCGAAACTGCTTGAAATCCTTTAGTGCAGGCTTACTCTGCTCGGCGTGTGCAGTTAGTTGTATGTGTAATAAGTGTAAAGATAAAGATAGCACTTGCTAGCATTTTGATCGCTTTATTGATTCTACTTTACTGCTTCGAAGTTCGAAGGTGAAACGAAATATGCCAAAAGTTAATACAACACGTGATATAACTAGCAACTTACCTGTGCGCAGGTTCCCGATTAGGGTGATATGGCCTGCAGCTAGCGACGCTGGGGGTCGACCCGAGAGGAAAATAATAAAAAAAACAAGCCGAAACTATAGATCGCTGTCGCTACGCGACGCGATCAATAAAACTTTTTCAATACTGAAATTATACAAAAACAATTACTCGCCTCAGGCTCGGTGATTACAACCCTATATTCACTTCGCCTTTGGCTCAGTGAATAACGGCTTGTAATCACCTCGCCTTCGGCGACAAATTGTTAAATATGCATGCATGAAAATTGGCCGGGATTTCTCTTTAATGAAACTACTCGCAAACATCCATAGGTAGAGCATGTTAATGCCGAAGTGGTAATTGCATGCATGAACATTCCTCTAATGTTCGGCGAAGTTTTGTCAGCTTTTGGTCAACCGTGCCATTTGCACCGAAAATTCAACATGTGGAAAAATCTGGTGCACAAAAGCATAGTTGAACACGTGTGCGGGCGAAGAAAGCAAATTTCTGCCATAACAAGCTAATATGCATGCATAACTGAAAAATTTGGATATGTTATACAAACTTGCAAATTTTTCCTGCAGGAATTTGCTTTCTTCAAGTATGCACTAGCTCGTGCACCGAATTATTCAACATGTTGAATAAAATTATTCCGTGCAGATGGCACGCTGGTGAGCAAAAGTTCGCGAAACATCGTCGCACACTGGAAGAACTTGCTTACGCTAATGTTCACGAGTGACTTTTAGCTCAGCAGATAGCTCTTTTGTGCGGCCGGCTTAAATAGATTTAGAATATATAATTATTTTTTGGAAAGTCATGTTTTCTCTGCTGCTTTGCAATTTCAATGCATGTGAGTAGGAAGAGCTCCATAATATTCAGTGATAGTTTGTAATTTAACAACTTGTATTCGGCAAGATATAATAACAACTGTAGGACAACAAAAAGCCTGCCCTGGCGTGTGTATATCTTGCGTGTGTACCACCCCTGTCAATTGCAAAGCCAATCCTTAGCATAATTCATAAATTATCTGAATTACATAGATTTCAACAGGCGCGGATTTAGGGGTAGGCAACATAGTCAAGTGACTATGGTAAATTATCCAGATAATAGTTACCAAGTTCCCAGTTCCCAATTCCCAAAGTATTCATTCATAAGCGAAAACATGACAGCTAATTATTCATATTTTCATATCACAGTCCAGTTATTTATAGATATATAGCTCATTGGTATTTAGGCAAGCCATGAAGCAAGCCAATGAGAGGCAGCTATTTTGCTTATGCCTGGCGGCCGATACAGCCTTTTGATTGGCTAATAGCTTTTTGCCTAGCCAAGACGAATTTGCCTAACTTAATTGACGTAACCTGGAAGCTTTATGATTGGGTATTTTTTTTAAAATTCTATTCTTTCATTGGCTTGCATATTTTGCCTATCTTTGGCGAGTTGAACCAATCACTGTGCTTGGTGAGCATGCCTGTGTTAGTCATGTTAGGCAACTAAAGACTAGACAAAGAGTGGAAACATGCCTTTTCAATCGCTCTGAGAATCGAAGGATGTTTGTTATTGTGTTATTTTACAATGTCTTCATCGCCTTGTAGTGATTTGTACGAGCCATTCGAACGATTTAGAGTGCTTAAATAACGCGATATTTATGCGACGTTCGATCTTTGTATTTATGAAGGTGACACGCTCAAGGCTAAGCTCAAATGTTTGTGTGGAGTTATATGTGCCGAAGCACGCTCGTAATGGCAAGAAAAAGGCTTGTACTGCAATAAGTTAACTATATTTTGTTTATTCCAAGCTACGCTTCTATATAACAGTGTTTTTAGATCTCAAGTCGGCAAAATGATTGTCCAACAACAACAAGCATAGCTAGTTCTTTAAGTATTCAAATATAAATTTACAAGTCATATGTCTGCACTGGCCGGGTCGAAGGTTGCTATATATGAATATATAACTTAAATATGATATGAAAGACACAAACTTAGCATGTTCACTTTTAGTTACTCATTATTATTCCGTATTCCTGATGTATATCACATGTATAAATACGTTCATATGAAAATTATGAGTGAATATACATCATGATGTTGACATTGTAACTCTGCCGTCATTCCGCGATATAATTGTCGGATACTTAATCTAGCGTGATTTTAATATCCTGTCAGTTTGAATATTTTCCTACATCTCCTGCTTCAGCTTCGGCCCTAGCACTAGTTGGTGACAATAATACTCAAAGTTGGGACTACTCAAAGTAGGGACTAAGGAATACTTTGGGAACAAGTAGATTCTCCCCTCAATGTCATCTCAAAAACAATTATTAGCGTATATTTTTAAAAGTGTATCCTAGGCATGCTGATGAGCCTAATATGGGGCGAAGCAGTTCAGCTGGTAGTCTGAAGACTATCATTTAAAAAATCGAAAACAGGGGGGTCAAAACCAAGGCGGTCAGTTTGCCAGAATTAGCTAGCTTTTGTTCACGCGTGCCATTTGCACCGAATATTCAACACGTGGAAAAATTTGGTGCCCAAGGGCATAGTTGTACACGTGTGCGGGCAAAGAGAGCAAATTTCTACCATAACAAGCTATTAGTATATTTTGGTATTGAAATATGGCCTTTGAGCATTCTGATTGGCTCCCGCAGCAGTAACTCTAAGGCAATAGTTACTGCTCAGAGTAGTCTGAGCAGTAACTATTGCTTTTTCCCAAAAAAAACATGGCTGAAAATACTCAAAATCATTTTGGAAAAATTTCAGAACCAGAAATTGACATAAAAGCCTCTCGCATTCGTGTGGAATTAAATAATGAAGGTAAGAAAAGACTCTTTTACGTATATTTAATAATTCATTTTACAATTCAAAACTGTTAGGAGCGAAAAAGTATTAGGTCGCGTGACTCAAAAACGAAAGTAAATTATTTATGCAAATTATATTCATAAAATAAACACGTGTATCAGTTGCATTTATAAATAAAACTTTTTCAATACTGAAATTTCCGGCGAAGCGAATATAGGCTTGTAGTCACCTCGCCTTCGGCGACTAATTGTTAAATATGCATGCATAAAAATTGGGATTTCTCTTTAATGAAACTACTCGCAAACATCCATAGGTAGAGCATGTTAATGCCGAAGTGGTAATTGCATGCATGGATTATCAAACATGCCCATGGCTGGATTGCTAATTTTCTACCGCTTCCAAACCTCTCGAGATCCGTAAGCAAGTTCCTCTAATGTGCGGTAACTTTTGTCAGCTTTTGTTCACGCGTGCCATTTGCACCGAAAATTCAACATGTGGAAAAATCTGGTGCACAAGAGCATAGTTGAACACGTGTGCGGGCGAAGAAAGCAAATTTCTGCCATGACAAGCTAATATGCATGCATAACTGCAAATTTTGGATATGTTATACAAGTTTGCAAATTTCTCATGCAGGAATTTGCTTTCTTCAAGTATGCACTCGTGCACCGAATTATTCAACATGTTAAATAAAATTATTCCGTGCAGATGGCACGATGGTGAGCAAAAGTTCGCGAAACGTTGTCGCACACTGGAGGAACCATAGAGATTATAAATAACACTAGAGGGGTCACCGAGGAGAAATTGGGGAGCGCGTTAATGGGGGGCAAATCCAAGTCGCGAATGTTCACTAATTCACGATCTCCGAGGCCAAAATAAGTCGTTTTTAACGAGTTTTTTTTATTTCTAAATGTTTTTTTGCCTAAAATATCATTTCAGGATGTCTGAATTGGTAAAACCAGTTTTAAAAAGCACTGTTTTTCCTTAAAAAACCGACAAAGCGACCTAAATAACGAATATAATTTTTTTACTGAAAATTGTTGCTAACGTGGTTGCTAAGGAGGCATTGATCTAGCCAATCAGCGCTTGGCTTAGCATCCGGGACTTGAATTTGCCCCCCATTATCGCGCTCCCTTTTCTGACTGATGTTTCTGATACCAATGCCTCCTCTAGTGTTATTTATAATCTCTATGGGAGAAACTTGCTTACGCTAATGTTCAGGAGTGACTTTTAGCTCAGCAGAAAGCTCTTTTGTGCGGCCGGCTTAAATAGATTTAGAATATATAATTATTTTTTGGAAAGTCGTGCTTTCTCTGCTGCTTTGCAATTTCAATGCATGTGAGTAGGAAGAGCTCCATAATATTCAGTGATAGTTTGTAAGTTAACAACTTGTATTCGGCAAGATTTAATAATAACTGTAGGGCAACAAAAAGCCCGCTCTGGCGTGCGTATATCTCGCGTGTGTACCACTCCTGTCAATTGCAAAGCCAATCCTTAACATAATTCATAAATTATCTGAATTACATAGATTTCAACAGGCGCGGATCTAGGGGTAGGCAACATAGTCAAGTGACTATGGTAAATTATCCAGATAATAATTACCAAATTCCCAGTTCCCAATTCCCAAAGTATTCATTCATAAGCGGAAACATGACAGTTAATTATTCATATTTTCATATCACAGTCCAGTTATTTATAGATATATAGCTCATTGGTATTTAGGCAAGCCATGAAGCAAGCCAATGAGAGGCAGCTACTTTGCCTATGCCTGGCGGCCGATACAGCCTTTTGATTGGCTAATAGCTCTTTTGCCTAACCAAAACGAATTTGCCTAACTTGACGTAACCTAGAAGCTTTACGATTGGGTAATTTTTTAAAATTCTCTTCTTTCATTGGCTTGCATATTTTGCCTATCTTTGGCGAGTTGAACCAATCACTGTGCTTGGTGAGCATACCTGTGTTAGTCATGTTAGGCAAAGACTAGACAAAGAGTGGAAACATGCCTTTTCAATCGCTCTGAGCATCGAAGGATGTTTCTTATTGTGTTATTTTACAATGTCTTCATCGCCTTGTAGTGATTTGTACGAGCTATTCGAACGATTTAGGGTGTTTAAATGACGCGATATTTATGCGACGTTCGATCTTTGTATTTATGAAGGTGACACGCTCAAGGCTAAGCTCAAATTTTTGTGTGGAGTTATATGTGCAGAAGCACGCTCGTAATGGCAAGAAAAAGGCTTGTACTGCAATAAGTTAACTATATTTTGTTTATTCCAAGCTACGCTTCTATATAACTGTGTTTTTAGATCTCAAATCGGCAAAATGATTGTCGAACAACAACAAGCATAGCTAGTTCTTTAAGTATTCAAATATAAATTTAGAAGTCATATGTCTGCCCTGGCCGGGTCGAAGGTTGCTATATAAGAATATGTAACTTAAATATGATATGAAAGACACAAACTTAGCATGTTCACTTTTAGTTACTTATTATCATTCCGTATTCCTGATGTATATCACATGTATAAATACGTTCATATGAAAATTATGAGTGAATATACATCATGATGTTGACATGTTGTAACTCCGCCGTCATTCCGCGATATAATTGTCGGATACTTGATCTAGCGTGATTTTAATATCCTGTTTTGAATATTTCCCTACTTCTCCTGCTTCAGCTTCGGACCCTAGCACTAGTTGCTGACAATAATACTCAAAGTTGGGACTACTTAAAGTAGAAACTAAGGAATACTTTGGGAATAAGTAGATTCTCCCCTCAATGTCATCTCAAAAACAATTATTAGCGTATATTTTTAAAAGTGTATCCTAGGCATGCTGATGAGCCTAATATGGGGCGAAGCAGTTCAGCTGGTAGTCTGAAGACTATCATTTAAAAAATCTAAAACAGGGGGGTCAAAACCAAGGCAGTCAGCTTGCCAGAATTAGCCAGCTTTTGTTCACGCGTGCCATTTGCACCGAATATTCAACACGTGGAAAAATTTGGTGCCCAAGGGCATAGTTGTACACGTGTGCGGGCAAAGAGAGCAAATTTCTACCATAACAAGCTATTAGTATATTTTCGGTATTGAAATATGGCCTTTGAGCATTCTGATTGGCTCCCGCAGCAGTAACTCTAAGGCAATAGTTACTGTTCAGAGTAGTCTGAGCAGTAACTATTGCTTTTTCCCAAAAAAACATGGCTGAAAATACTCAAAATCATTTTGGAAAAATTTCAGAACCAGATATTGACATAAAAGCCTCTGGCATTCGTGTGGAATTAAATAATAAAGGTAAGAAAAGAATCTTTTACGTATATTTAACAATTCATTTTACAATTCAAAACTGTTAGGAGCGAAAAAGTATTAGGTTACGTGACTCAAAAACGAAAGTAAATTATTTATGCAAATTATATTCATAAAATAAACACGTGTATCAGTTGCATTTATAAATAAAACTTTTTCAACACTGAAATTTCCGGCGAAGTGAATATAGGCTTGTAATCACCTCGCCTTCGGCGACTAATTGTTAAATATGCATGCATAAAAATTGGGATTTCTCTTTAATGAAACTACTCGCAAACATCCATAGGTAGAGCATGTTAATGCCGAAGTGGTAATTGCATGCATGGATCATCAAACATGCCCATGGCTGGATTGCTAATTTTCTACCGCTTCCAAACCTCTCGAAATCCGCAAGCAAGTTCCTCTAATGTGCGGCGACGTTTTGTCAGCTTTTGGCCAAGCGTGCCATTTGCACCAAAAATTCAACATGTGGAAAAATCTGGTGCACAAAAGCATAGTTGAACACGTGTGCGGGCGGAGAAAGCAAATTTCTGCCATAACAAGCTAATATGCATGCATAACTGCAAATTTTGGATATGTTATACAAGTTTACAAATTTCTCATGCAGGAATTTGCTTTCTTCAAGTATGCACTCGTGCACCGAATCATTCAACATGTTGAATAAAATTATTCCGTGCAGATGGCACGCTGGTGAGCAAAAGTTCGCGAAACGTCGTCGCACACTGGAGGAACCATAGAGATTATAAATACCACTAGAGGGGTCATCGAGGAGAAATTGGAGAGCGCGTTAATAAGGGGCAAATCCAAGTCCCGGATGTTCACTCATTCACGATCTCCGAGGCCAAAATAAGTCGTTTTTAACGATTTTTTTAATTTCTAAATTTTTTTTTGCCTAAAATATCATTTCAGGATGTCTGAATTGGTAAAACCAGTTTTAAAAAGCACTGTTTTTCCTTAAAAAACCGACAAAGCGACCTAAATAACGAATATAATATTTTTACTGAAAATTGTTGCTAACGTGGTTGCTAAGGAGACACTGATCTAGCCAATCAGCGCTTGGCTTAGCTTCCGGGACTTGAATTTCCCCCCCTTATCGCGCTCCCTTTTTTGACTGATGTTTCTGATACCAATGCCTCTTCTAGTGTTATTTATGATCTCTATGGGAAGAACTTGCTTACGCTAATGTTCACGCGAGTGACTTTTAGCTCAGCAGAAAGCTCTTTTGTGCGGCCGGCTTAAATAGATTTAGAATATATAATTATTTTTTTGAAAGTCGTGCTTTCTCTGCTGCTTTGCAATTTCAAAGCATGTGAGTAGGAAGAGCTCCATAATATTCAGTGATAGTTTGTAAGTTAACAACTTGTATTCGGCAAGATTTAATAATAACTGTAGGACAACAAAAAGCCTGCTCTGGCGTGCGTATATCTTGCGTGTGTACTACTCCTGTCAATTGCAAAGCCAATCGTTAACATAATTCATAAATTATCTGAATTACATAGATTTCAACAGGCGCGGATTTAGGGGTAGGCAACATAGTCAAGTGACTATGGTAAATTATCCAGATAATAATTACCAAATTCCCAGTTCCCAATTCCCAAAGTATTGATTCATAAGCGGAAACATGACAGGTAATTATTCATATTTTCATATCACAGTCCAGGTATTTATAGATATATAGCTCATTGGTATTTAGGCAAGCCATGAAGCAAGCCAATGAGAGGCAACTATTTTGCCTATGCCTGGCGGCCGATACTGCCTTTTGATTACCTAATAGCTCTTTTGCCTAACCAAGACGAATTTGCCTAACTTCACGTAACCTGGAAGCTTTATGATTGGGTAATTTTTTAAAATTCTCTTCTCTCATTGGCTTGCATATTTTGCCTATCTTTGGCGAGTTGAACCAATCACTGTGCTTGGTGAGCATGCCTGTGTTAGTCATGTTAGGCAAAGACTAGACAGAGTGGAAACATGCCTTTTCAATCGCTCTGAGCATCGAAGGATGTTTCTTATTGTGTTATTTTACAATGTCTTCATCGCCTTGTAGTGATTTGTACGAGCTATTCGAACGATTTAGGGTGTTTAAATGACGCGATATTTATGCGACGTTCGATCTTTGTATTTATGAAGGTGACACGCTCAAGGCTAAACTCAAATGTTTGTGTGGAGTTATATGTGCAGAAGCACGCTCGTAATGGCAAGAAAAAGGCTTGTACTGCAATAAGTTAACTATATTTTGTTTATTCCAAGCTACGCTTCTATATAACTGTGTTTTTAGATCTCAAATCGGCAAAATGATTGTCGAACAACAACAAGCATAGCTAGTTCTTTAAGTATTCAAATATAAATTTAGAAGTCATATGTCTGCCCTGGCCGGGTCGAAGGTTGCTATATATGAATATATAACTTAAATATGATATGAAAGACACAAACTTAGCATGTTCACTTTTAGTTACTTATTATCATTCCGTATTCCTGATGTATATCACATGTATAAATACGTTCATATGAAAATTATGAGTGAATATACATCATGATGTTGACATTGTAACTCTGCCGTCATTCCGCGATATAATTGTCGGTTACTTGATCTAGCGTGATTTTAATATCCTGTTTTGATTAGTTTCCTACTTCTCCTGCTTCAGCTTCGGCCCTAGCACTAGTTGGTGACAATAATACTCAAAGTTGGGACTACTCAAAGTAGGGACTAAGGAATACTTTAGGAATCAGTAAATTATCCCCTCAATGTCATCTCAAAAACAATTATTATCGTATATTTTTTATTACCATCCCTATTCATTTTAAGGCGAGGTTTTACCACAAACTTTCCCGTCTAAGATGAGTTTCCCGCCCCTTATATGAATTCAGCTAATAAAGTCGAAAGGAACGATAAAGCCGACGACTAGCTGGTTGAGTGAACTCTGCTTTACGCCTGTTTCAGACGTTGAACTTTACGACGTCTGAAACAGGCCTTAGTTCATAAAAATATGCTTTTTTAGCTCATGAGCATGCTCAGAGATTTCGGTGCAAAAATATTTCTTTCTTCACAGATTGTCGGCAAAACTGGAAAAGATTCAATTCTTTCTGTTATACATCTTGATTAGTACTTGGAGGAACTTCCAAAGTGCAATTAATGAATGTCGAAAACAGGGGGGTCAAAACCAAGGCGGTCAGCTTGCCAGAATTAGCCAGCTTTTGTTCACGCGTGCCATTTGCACCAAATATTCAACATGTGGAAAAATTTGGTGCCCAAGAGCATAGTTGTACATATGTGCGGGTGAAGAGAGCAAATTTCTACCATAAAAAGCTATTAGTATATTTTCGGTATTGAAATATGGCCTTTGAGCATTCTGATTGGCTTCCTCAGCATTAACTCTGAGGCAATAGTTACTGCTCAGAGCAGTCTGAGCAGTAACTATTGCTTTTTCCAAAAAAACATAGCTGAAAATACTCAAAATCGTTTTGGAAAAATTTCAGAAGACGAAATTGAGAACCCAAAAGCCCCTGTCATCAGATTATCTAATAAAGGTAAGAAAAGACTCTTTTACGTATATTTGACAATTTGTTTTACAATTCAAAACTGTTAGGAGCGACAAAGTATTAGGTCACATGACTCAAAAACGAAAGTTAATTATTTATGCAAATTATATTCATAAAATAAACACGTGTATCAGTTGCATTTATAAACAAGACGCCTACTAGGCGTTATATGATCACGTCGTTCACAGCGGCGTAGCCAGCCCAGCTATGCAAATTTTGTGTCGTAAATGTTCTTAATAATAAAAATGAACAATATACCGAACTATAGTCGCATGTTGAAAGCAGGAGAAACACACAACAGCCCATTTCGAAACTGCTTGAAATCCTTTAGTGCAGGCTTACTCTGCTCGGCGTGTGCAGTTAGTTGTATGTGTAATGAGTGTAAAGATAAAGATAGCACTTGCTAGCATTTTGATCGCTTTATTGATTCTACTTTACTGCTTCGAAGTTCGAAGGTGAAACGAAATATGCCAAAAGTGAATACAACACGTGATATAACTAGCAACTTACCTGTGCGCAGGTTCCCGATTAGGGTGATATGGCCTGCAGCTAGCGACGCTGGGGGTCGACCCGAGAGGAAAATAATAAAAAAAACCAAGCCGAAACTATAGATCGCTGTCGCTACGCGACGCGATCAATAAAACTTTTTCAATACTGAAATTAAACTAAAACAATTAGTCGCCTCAGGCTCGGTGATTACAACCCTATATTCACTTCGCCTTCGGCTCAGTGAATATCGGCTTGTAATCACCTCGCCTTCGGCGACTAATTGTTAAATATGCATGCATAAAAATTGGGATTTCTCTTTAATGAAACTACTCGCAAACATCCATAGGTAGAGCATGTTAATGCGAAGTGGTAATTGCATGCATGGGGTTATCAAACATGCCCATGGCTGGATTGCTAATTTTCTACCGTCATAAGCGGAAACATGACAGCTAATTATTCATATTTTCATATCACAGTCCAGTTATTTATAGATATATAGCTCATTGGTATTTAGGCAAGCCATGAAGCAAGCAAATGAGAGGCAGCTATTTTGCCTATGCCTGGCGGCCGATACAGCCTTATGATTGGCTAATAGCTTTTTTGCCTAACCAAGATGAATTTGCCTAACTTAATTGACGTAACCTGGAAGCTTTATGATTGGGTATTTTTTTTTAAATTCTATTCTTTCATTGGCTTGCATATTTTGCCTATCTTTGGCGAGTTGAACCAATCACTGTGCTTAGTGAGCATACCTGTGTTAGTCATGTTAGGCAACTAGAGACTAGACAAAGAGTGGAAACATGCCTTTTCAATCGCTCTGAGCATCGAAGGATGTTTGTTATTGAGTTATTTTACAATGTCTTCATCGCCTTGTAGTGATTTTTACGAGCGATTCGAACGATTTAGAGTGCTTAAATGACGCGATATTTATGCGACGTTCGATCTTTGTATTTATGAAGGTGACACGCTCAAGGCTAAACTCAAATGTTTGTCTGGAGTTATATGTGCCGAAGCACGCTCATAATGGCAAGAAAAAGGCTTGTACTGCAATAAGTTAACTATATTTTGTTTATTCCAAGCTACGCTTCTATATAACTGTGTTTTTAGATCTCAAATCGGCAAAATGATTGTCCAACAACAACAAGCATAGCTAGTTCTTTAAGTATTCAAATATAAATTTACAAGTCATATGTCTGCGCTGGCCGGGTCGAAGGTTGCTATATATGAATATATAACTTAAATATGATAAGAAAGACACAAACTTAGCATGTTCACTTTTAGTTACTTATTATCATTCCTTATTCCCGATGTATATCACATGTATAAATACGTTCATGAAAATTATGAGTGAATATACATCATGATGTTGAATATTTTCCTACTTCTCCTGCTTCAGCTTCGGCCCTAGCACTAGTTGGTGACAATAATACTCAAAGTTCGGACTACTCAAAGTAGGGACTAAGGAATACTTTGGGAATAAGTAGATTCTCCCCTCAATGTCATCGCAAAAACAATTATTAGCGTATGTTTTAAAAAGTGCATCCTAGGCATGCTGATGAGCCTAATATGGGGCGAAGCAGTTCAGCTGGTAGTCTGAAGACTATCATTTAAAAAATCGAACATCCTAATATGCCAGTAAATGAGACATGCGTGACGCCATAGTGACGTCATAAATGACGTCATAAAATTTGACTAAGGTATGAAAAATCCTAGGTCTGCACCGGGGTTTCAACGAATGTGCGTCGGCAAATAAATGCCATCATCAAGCCAAATGTATCAAAATGGTTCGCTCATACTCATGTGTTTGTAATGATGGATTTACAGGGGATGGAATTAGGAGATGCAACGGTAAGGTATTTTATTTTCTTAACTGAAAGGGTAAACTTCATTTCATAACTTACATTGGCATTAAAAACTTCATGGTTTGCACCACCAGTGGTTCACATGCAGAGACATAACTTTCTGTTTCACACGAAAATGTCAGATTTAGATGAATGTAAGTCCTCGGCTGCTCAACGGTGCCATCCTCAAGCAAAATGTTTCAACACTGTTGGCTCATACTATTGTGCTTGTAAAACAGGATTTGAAGGGGACGGAATTAAAACTTGCAAAGGTAAGATTATTTTCGCAACGCAGAAAAAAATTATAAGAATAGATTAGCCTACCTAAAATGATGGTCAGATAATTTTTTATAACATTCTGTAACGTTGATGTGAGAGATGGGTTCTCAGATGTATAGTCCTCCGATAGCTCTCTTGTACTTGTATTGCATGCAATGACGGATTTGTCTTTAATGAAGCTATTTGCAAGCATGCATAGGTAGAGTATGTTAATGCCGAAGTGCCAATTGCATGCATGCATGGATTATCAAACATGCCCATGGCTGGATTGCTAATTTTCTACCGCTTCCAAACCCTACGCAATCCGTAAGCAAGTTGCGCTAATGTGCGGCGACGTTTTGTCAGCTTTCGTTCACGCGTGCCATTTGCACCAAATATTTGACGTGTTGAGTAATTTGGTGCACAAGAGCATATTTGTACACGATTGCGGGCGAAGAGAGCAAATTTCTGTCATAACAAGCTAATAGGCATGCATATAACTGAAAAATTTGGACATGTTTTACAAATTTGCATCTTTTTCATGCAGGAATTTGCTTTCTTCAAGTATGCACTAGTGCACCGAATTACAACATGTTGAATAAAATTATTCCGTGCAGATGGCACGCTAGTGAGCAAAAGTTCGCAAAACGTCGTCGCACGCTGGAGAAACTTGCTTACGCTTGTGTTCTCGAGTGACTTTTAGCTCAGCAGATAGCTTTTTTGTGTGGCCAGCTTAAATAGATTTAGAATATATAACTATTTTTTAGAAAGTCGTGTTTTGCTTGCTGTTTTGCATTTTCAATGCATGTGAGTTGGAGGAGCTCCATAATATTCTGCAATTGTTTGTAGTTTATCAACTTGTATTGGGCAAAATTTAATAATAACTGTAGGACAACAAAAAGCCTGCTTTGGCGTGTGTATCTCGCGTGTGTACCACTCCTGTCAATTGCAAAGCCAATCCTTAAAATATTTCATATCCGAATCACATAGATTTCAACGAATGTGCGTCGGCAACTAAATGCCATTCTCAAGCAAAATGTATCAACAGTGTTGGCTCATACTCATGTGTTTGTAATAATGGATTTACAGGAGATGGAATTAAGACATGTAACGGTAAGGTGTTTTATTTTCTTATATAACTCAAAGGGTAAACTGCATTTCATAACTTACATTAGCATTAAAAACTTCATGGTTTGCACCACCAGTAGTTCACATGCCGAGATATAACTTTCTGTTTAACACGAAAATTTCAGATTTAGATGAATGTAAGTCCTCGGCTGCTCAACGGTGCCATTCTCAAGCAAAATGTTTCAACACTTTTGGCTCATACAATTGCGCTTGTAAAAAAGGATTTGAAGGGGACGGAGTGAAAACTTGCAAAGGTAAGGTTATTTTCGAAACGTAGAATTTTTTTTATAATGATAGCTTAGCCTTATCTCAACTGAAGGTCAGATAATTGTATATAACTTTCTATAACGCCATAGTAAATTCATGTAAATTGTACCACTGTAATGCAATAATGCATGCATGGCCTCAGGTTTGAGAAGTGTAAGAAAGGTACATTTTGGGGAATGGAGCGCTGTTAGGGGGTTTGGAGGCATCCTCCCCGGAGAAAATGTTGAAAATATTATTCTTGTAGCGTTTTGGGATCCCTTGCAACCTTAGGGCCCGGAGAAAATTGACCCCCTCCTCCCCCACTCTGGGCGGCCCTGTTCAGAAGTATCGCCCTCGGATAACACTCTTGTACTTTCCTTGCATGCAATGATGGATTTCTCTTTAATGGAATTATTTGCATGCAGGCATACACATGTAGAGTATACAATTGCATGGGATCGTCAAAAATGTCCATGGCAGGATTGCTAATTTTCAACCCCTTCCAAATTTTTCGAAATTCCTCTGAAATCGGAAGGCGTACACCGCCACTACACTCCAGTTTTAATACGTACGTACACAAAAAGAAAATCATCTCATGCCTTGCATAATTATAAATTATTATATTTACTTCCTTCAATCATCTTGTTCTTTGTTACACGTGTTCATAGAAAGAAACTCACATATTTAACATGAGGTTGGGAATTCTCAAAGTTATCGAGAATTCAAACTTCCTCTAATTATCTTTTCGCTGATCTAAAACTTTCAAAATTAGACATGGATGAATGCACAACGGGAAATTACAAATGCCATCCAAACGCAACATGCAAAAATACCGTTGGATCATACATATGTTCTTGTAATGAAGGTTTCATTGGGAATGGAACAGACTGTAAAGGTATACTTTTATTCACAAGCCCGACAGAAAAGTTTGAAAGAATTGTATCCCCCTTACTTTGCGCTAACCGAAACGATATGATTTCAGGCATCGACAAGTGTATTAATCAAGAATGGACATGTGACTGTAACTTAAGTAGAGGTATGTTCAAAATATTGTTTTCTATATAACATCTTAATGGGGGTCACTGCAAGACGTTAAAATGCACAAGGTAACGCGTTACACAAAAGGGATAACATGTGATGTTGTACATAAGAAATCTGGCGCGTATGACCGATGCATTTAATTCGCCTCACTTTGTTGCTCCTAAGGCACTGTAACACTGTGGAGTTTTTTACGAACTTGGAACTTGCAATGCAATTCTAATTAATTCAAAGATGTAAATTTCACAACCACAAAACTTGTGTTTATTACACTTCATGGATGTTTCTTGCATTTTAATTTTTATAACTCTTCAGTAATTTTCATCTCTTAAAAATTGAATTGCAATTTGCAAACGTTATACGACTTTGATCATTCAGCAGAAACCAGTATTATAGAATTTTAACTGTTAGAGGAAGACAGCAAAAGATTGAGGAAATAATATATTGCTACCATTAAATCTGTTTATCTGAATTGATAGAATCATTTAATACAAGCAAGAAAGAAAGACTGAGACAACTTCACGATGAGGCAAGTTAATTAATCTTTCTATACCGTACGATTCCCTCGATGAAAGAGCTCACTCACACTCGAACACATTGTGTGATCTCAATCACATCGAACTATTCTATGACCCGACAGTTCCACTCGAAAAAGAGCTTGATTTTAAGTGCTTGAACCTTAACTAATAATGGAATTCTTCCGTCAGAAGATAATATGTGTGAATGAGCTTTTTAATAAAGATATTAAAATGGCATTGATTATATTTTTTCTTATTATTAATATTATATTAATTCTTTCATCTTATCAAAAATGACGTCATACCGTATATCTATAACTGAACAGACAACGGTTCAATGTTATCTGTTTGTTATTCAGTATAAAACAAAACTTCAATCGCCAGATTTAAAATTTTCTTATTTTGTTCCGGAACAAAAAGAAAACTAAACTTGACTAGGCGTTATTTCTTTCCCAGCATTAGCGAGCATTTCCTAAACTAAAATTTTAATATTTAAAGCAGACATTTGCTCACGTGTGCGCATTGGGCTTTCTTTAATTTCCAGGTAGATCGACTATTTGAAAAGAATATAACAACCAAAAGAAGCTGCGCACCAATTATTATCGACGAGTTATCAAAAATAACAGCTTATGAAGACCAAGAAGAAATGTTGGACCAAGAAATTCTTATTCAAACAGTTGAAATCCTACTAAAAATCGTCGACTTTAATATTGCTGATGACATTATGAACATTATGGTTCCTGCAAATAATATACTGGATGTTAGATACGAAAAATCGTGGCGAAATATGACGGTATGAAATTAATATAGAACTAATTTTACCTTTAAATTGCGAATTATTTTTCATCTAATGATTATTTCAATTGTGTCCATAATCCATACCCACCTTGTATCCTGTTACATCATTCTTCAACTGTTCGTCTTTAAATAGTATCGTTCTTTTATTTTATTCGGAAATTTTCATCATGTGATATTACTACAGGAAAATATACCACAGAGTCATACGCCCCGTTTACATGACATTCATTTTTTGGCACAGCATGGTTGAAATCGGTACCCGTGCCCAATTTTATTAGTGTTCAGGCTGCCAAAACAAAGGCCGCCCACGGATGAATCGGGCATGGCTACCCATTTTAGCCGTGCCGTGCCGATAAATTGACTGTATAGTAACGAGGTTATAGACTTCTATATAATCATCCTACATTCTATCCCACATTTTTATAATATCATGCATTTTAAACCTTTACTTTCTTTTATAGGACGGTAAAGAGGCCCGCAAACTGGTGGCAACTTTGCAAAAATATGGCGTTCAAAGCGGGAATATCCTAAAAAACAAAAATACCTCCCATACATTTCAAAATTTTCCCAACGTACAACTACGTGTTAATTACATGAATTCGTCAGAATTTTCACCTCAGGACCGACTTTTCAATTTCCCAAATGCATCTTTCAATATCTCACGAGATGCACTTCCAAAGAATTCAGGTGCTGTGGTTGTTGTCGTATGGTATAAGACACTAAATTCATTTTTGACGAAGAATATTTACGACGGTAATAATTATGCAATTAAGAGCAGGATAATCAGTGCAAGTGTTCAACCTGAAGCAACTAGGATTCCATTCAAACAGCCGGTTCGCATCCACTGGAAAGAAAACGTATTGGTAATGAAGGTAGTATGCCACCAGGGTCGTTAGTTAATCATATTCTGTGGCCGGTTGTGTCAAGCCCGTTTCGCTTAAACGGCGTATAAGTCAAAATTAAATAACATTCTTTTTGAATGCGTCAACCTAAATATTGTGCACTGAATATGTAGATGTAAACAGCATCTATGTATTAAGGTTAAAAACATTTTGCTTCCTTGTTAAAAAAAACGAGTCTCGCTTTCAATTTTGAACTTAACTACCGTTTAAGCTAAGCGGGCTTGACACTACCGGGCCCTGTAGAATAATTAGGCCTATTAGTAAAATGGAAGTAAGGCAGTTTATAGAAAATAAATAAAGATATTGTCCGATAATTAAATAACGTATGATTGGCAATGTTCCGGGATTTTCTCAAATGGGAAAAATCTAGGGATCATAACGTTACCTCTCAAACGTCAATAAAACGGCAAAATTTGTAACCCCTTCTCATTCAATCTAACTAAATCTAGATGACGGTTCTAAAGATCATTCCGCGGGAGGGGGAGGAATAGTTTCCCACCCCCCTGCCACTTGCCGGCTCCACTGATGATAGGTAGATTATAGAGCGGACTAAAGTAGCATGATATTACCAGTTGTTTCAAGAAATGCTTACAGATTACAAAATTCAATAAATCCAAAAATTTTTTATCTCGGACAAAACGAATTGTTGTGATTATTGTAAAGGTAGGATAGTATGATCCATGAATCTCAGCAATGGAATATTTTATCTTAGAACGACCCAAAGACTTGCGTATATTGGAAACCAGAATTATACGATAACTTGTGGAAATCGGATGGATGTAAAAGAGTTGATTCATTAGATAACGACTTGATATGCGAATGTGACCATCACACGGCCTTCGCCACCATGGACACTTGGGAAAGAGATTTGGTAACGACTTTAGGCGATAAATTTACTGCCATATTCAACATTTTCTTTACTTTGAAATTTCTGGTACATTTTTTTCTTCCATAGTTAAGTGAAACTGAACAGAAAAGCTTGGAAATTGTATCCACGATTGGTTGTTCCTTATCACTTGTTGGTGTAATTTTGACTATATTGGCACACGCAGTGCTGTGGAAGAGACTTCATAAAATAACCGACTGCAAAGTTCCCTCTAAAGTGTTAATGAATCTATGTGCCGCTATTGGAATGACGGATATCCTTGCTGTTCTTGCCGGACCTGCACGCAAAAATGAGGTTTAGAATAAGCACTTTCCATTGCATTCATTTCATCATACCCATGCACTATAATTTAACTCAGTGACATTCTCGACCTTATTTTCTTTCTTTCCTTTAGTTATTTTGTATAACAGTTTCCATTTTACTGTATCTCTCAGTACTAGCCCTATTTGGATGGATGCTATGCCAGGGAATTGTTATCTACCTTAAACTAATGCATGTTTACGCTAGTATGAATTTGAGTGGAAGATATATGAAGGCATTTTATGCAATAGGTTGGGGTAAGTAGCATAACATATTGATATTAATACAACTACTGCCCATTCTTATCAATAAATGAGATTAAATATTTGCTAGGAAATTCTGTGAAACAAAACACGCACACATGCACTTAAATATTAAAATGTTTTCATTTTTTATCATTTTAATACCTGTGGCTGAAACTGTAAACACAGCACGCATAGCTGAAACTTAGATATGCTTAACAAATGTGATTGTTGGTTAATATCGTCCATAGGTTTTCCAGTTTTCATTGTGGCGCTGTTGGTTGGGTTGAATGATCGCATTGACTTTAAATCAAAACAAGGGTGTTGGTGCCGTGCTGGTGGAGTGTTATTCTGGACTTTTATTGCTACTATAGGAATAATACTTCTGGTAAGCTCACGGTGCAAGATGCATGCAATATATTTAAAACATTTAAAAATATGTAATAATATGCATATGTTATTCGCATATCACCGTGATTTGCGCTTTTCTCGTATTCTCACAAAAGTCCTTGAATACAAAACGCGTGCAGTTGGGTATAATTTAGACTTTATTTCCAATCGTAACGAATTTAATGCTAACACGTGTACACACTTTTGAAAAAGGATTGAATGATGATGGATGTAATGAACTGCATGCCATTTAGGTAATAATATTTACCGTTTTCCGACCAACCATTTAAATGCTAGAACAGGATTGATAGCACAGGTGCTAAGATCTTTGATTATCTCGGCTCCAAAAAATGCAGAAAAAATTTTTAAACCTTTCCTAAACTCGTTTTCTAAAAGTTTTCTGTGCAAAGCTACATAGGGCTTTTTCAAAAATATATTGGCAATCGCTTCCAGCATTTCCTTTTTTATGGATTTCTAAGTGGAGGGGGGGGGGGCGAAATAACAAAAGGGGCCTTTTATTTTATTCCTTTAGACAATGTTACATTTTTGAGACCTTTCATAAATTTTTAATACTTTGTAATGGGAAAATCTTATTCACTGGGAGGGCGAAATGCCATTAGTTGCGAGGGGCTTAGGAGCGTAAACGGCACCTCAACTTCCCATATCCCCAATTTTATAGTGAAGTCTAAAAAGGCCCTGTCGCTTTCTCTGCGTCCTTTTTTTAGCACTGAACGTCTTAGCTATAAATGGGGCATGACCCACAAGGAACTCAATATGGCTTTTGCTTTTAAATACTTCTATTTTTAATTTGTCGCTAAAATTCTCGCTTTAGATCAACGTTTTTGTTTTTGTTCTCGCCTTACGAAAAGTGTTATCGACCAGCGAAGTAAGGTCAAGTTGTTCAGACCCTGACAACAAGTTCAAAAAGGCAAAAAAGGGTCTGATAGGTTCAGGCACTCTTCTACCAGTTCTTGGATTGACGTGGGTGTTTGCCTTGCTGGTATTCAACCGAGATACAATTGCGTTTAAGTATTTATTCGCAATATTCAACTCGATACAAGGACTGATGATATTTGTTTTTTATGTGCTTCTAAATAAGAAGGTATGTTTATGCTATTTTTTTTCCAAGTAAACTATTTGAATAAGAAATTATTACAAATAAATATAAGTCGACATCGAAAAATAATTATTGCTGCGGAGCGAGCGAGCCTGAAGCGATTGAGCGTAGCAGCAGTCTAATTTGTGCAGAGAGGGGGTTCTGAACTAAATTTTATTTAGCGTAAGGAATTGTGGTCGTGCGCGTTTTTTATGCGCAGAACACAAATTTTAAACTCGCTCATATCCATGTACTTTTTGATTTCGACGGACAGGATTTTCAAATTTTTGTCAAATTTTAAATCTTCTGTTCTATTTTGACTATTCAAGGTAAGATATTTTGTCTTTCGTTCATATGTTACGTTTACAGTTGATTACAAATTTAACTTCTATATATTTATGAAACGCTAAAAGCATACAATCGATCGCAGCTAGATTCATACTGTTTATATACGATACACTATATATACAATATATACTATCCAATGTGCTAACTGCTAATTCGCTTTGCTTGAGCAGTTGAGCCGTCAGTGCTGTGAAGCAAATCAAGTCTTACATACAGAAGTCTTTTTATCCATTGGCATTTGTATTCTTTTGCTGATTTTGATCAAGTATGCGGCTTGACGCTTGCGAGTCGTGTTTAATAACATGACACAGTCACAGATAAAATATGCAATTGATCGTCTAAATTGCCTGACTGAATTATTCAGATTCGTGCAATGTTTGACCTATTTTATATTAAAGCATAGGTATATGTTTTTATTACTATTTTTCGATGAGCTAAATGCCTAAATATTTTTGTTATTTAGTGCTTTTACCGGATCTTCACGTGGTTTCTGATTACACGTCTTCTCGAGCGCGTTCAAAGTTAAAAGTATCAAATGATGTTTTGTTACTCTTCATATGAAGCCAAACATTTACATGGACTCTTACAAGAAGACAAATAGCACATTTCAAAAACAAATATCCATGTTACCAAAAAATGTTCTATTTTGTTAATATTTTACAATATTTTCCGCGCGGAAACTGGAAAGTACAATGCTGTCAACTTTGTTGCGGGGGAAAATGTCGCTACGCGCGCAAAATTCTGCCTAATATTCCTATTATTCCTATTAATACTCCTGTTGTGATTCGTATATTAAAATATTTTGAAAACTAGCTGCTTCTAAAGACTTTGACTTGAACGAGCCGCAACTCGTATCTCTATCCAACATCGTAGAAGTTGGTATTTACGACATTGAAAAATGGCTATTTTCAGACGATTCGTTTTTGCCGAGTGCAATCTACAAATCCTTTGGGCAGCAAATACTTTGTTGAACATTTATCTTTTTGCTTAGCAAATTTACTCGCGAAATCATCATATAAACCAGCAGCCTATTTCAAAACAATTTCGAGATAAAAGTTAGAACTTGAACAGTTGAACTACACAACGATGTTTTTCATACGAACTACATTACATAGCATATATTGACCTATAATGACGTCATTGACAGAGTGTTCTCGCTAACAGGTATAAATTCATGTACAGCCCCAGCGAGTTAACGCTCAATAGAGGTTCACTTTACATGTTTTAAACCTATTAGTTAAAGCAGATTTAGTTTACTAATATTTCATATAACAATTCACTTGGACCCTAAAATGCTCGCAGCAATCCCTACCTTGCAGGTAACCTAGTTTTAGAAATAAGTGACGAGGGCTGCCCGGCATGGTGTGCTATATGACACCGCGGAAATTAGTAAAATTGAAAAATACTTAGCCGCAATTCTCAATACTCAATAAAAAGATTTATAGATAATCAACAAAATATGTCTTGCACAAAATATTTCAAGCTTGCACACGGCAAAAACGAATCATCTGAATTAATAAGCTTGTGTATACTTTAAGCCACAAAATGGCCACTTCACAGCTGTCAGATATGCATATGCATGATGAGCTGTCAAAAGATTAATTGTAGAATGCGTATTCGGAAGAAAAATAATCGGATTTTCATACTTAAAACTTCATAAACACCAATTTCTGCAGTGTTGTGCTGTAAATAAGTTCCATTTCATGACATAATGGTTGCTATTAAACACATGTATAGAATGAATGTAAAATCATCGCATATATATTGTGATACATTCACCGGTTTGCAATTATATACGCCTATAGACCAGCTAGTTCTTTCACTCTTATTTCAACCTTTCACATTTTGCTCGACGCTACGCTGTTTGTTCGCACTTATGTGGCGACGTACTTGATGCCATAAATTCAAAAATTATCGATTGCCATTGTTTAAAAACCGGCCACCATCAACTCCACATTATATTACCGACCGTTTCGCGAAGAAACGGGGGGTATCACCCCCACATCCCCGCTTCATACGCCCCTGCGCATGATGATTGTAGGACAAACGTAACTGAGAGTAAAACTTAAATGTTGTTCCAATTTCATGTTATGTGTTGTGTAATTTTTCGACTTGTGATTAAACCGTGCTAGATTGCGTTCGGTGGGGCGCAAGGGAGTTGTGAATGACGAGAGTATTAATAGTTAACCTGCACCGTAAAACGAGAACGAACGAATATGCAAGTATGCTAATGTTTTCATTGAAATTACGAAAAGCTGATTGGTTTGCATATTTAAACATGTACGAATCGACGAAAGCGACGAACGAATGAGCGACAAAAAGTCGCTTGCTTGTACTAAACATGTTTTCAACCGTATTGTAATGCTTGTATATTTTTTCTGTCGTTGTGCTGATAGAAAAACTACATTTCGGCTAATTCAATCAAGGATGGTAGAAGATAGTCTTAACTTAAGGCCGTAAAGAAGATACACACAGACATGTATTACTATTATATATTTGGGGATATGCAATACACATGCATGCGCACGTAAAAATCTCACATCTTGTAACTGCATGAAAACGCCTAAAGAATTGTAATTTCATCACATTTTTTATTTGAGCCTAATAGGTGATCATAACAGAAAGGAATTTCATGTGATAGAAACTATTTAGCGTTAAGTTTAACTCGACTTTGTGATATTATTGTAATTTCCATAACATGCCAGTTAAAACGTATATTCAAATCCCAGGAGCATAATAAGTTCCATAGCCACAATAAACTTAAATGCAAATCAGCAGTAACTGCTATACATATTACGATAGTTAAATTATTGTCGTCAGTCGCTTCGATCTCGCTTGTCTCTTCCATTGCGGCATTTATCACCGGTAGTATACATTGAATATATTGCCTGAACGGCGTTGTGCAAATTTAATAGCACGATGTTTAAAACCTCTACGTCGTCTGCCATGCTTTTTCAAACAGCTCATTCGTAGTTTGCACAATTGCAAATCCACCTGGAATTGCATATAAATACACGTATATGCAAATGTCTTAAAACACATGAAGAAATGCTTAAGAATTGTTGTAATAATTGCATTGAGGCTACTTAACACGACCTTGATTAACTATAAAATTCAATTGAGTTTACGAATTGACGACTTCGGTAAAATACTCAGGGTTCTATGTATAATATTATTCAACTTAGTTATTCCTCAGTTTGGGATGTTACCATTACCGTTCATCGATCATCGTCATCTTGTTGCATGCCCCCTGTTTTAACCGTATAATATACACGATATCACAACACAAAATTACCTCACCAAAATATGCATGCTATGGCTTAAAGTTTACAAACAAATATGATAATAAACTTGTTTTAGCCAATAGAAACCATCTATTTGAACGATTGTGAACCGTACTCTCGTTCAGTTAATGAGGCTACTCGTTCGTTCTCGTTCTACGGTGCAGGTTAACTAATTAGACTTAGTGTGTATCGTCGGCTATACACAACTTTCAAGTAACCTCAGTATATATTTGTGTTATAGTTCCATGAAGCTTTCTCAAAGGAAAAGAAAATCCGTGACGAAAGACGACGAATTAATCTTGCTATGGACAAGAAAGATATCCGCAGTAAGTATAAATCGTATAAACCTGTCCTAAAAGAGACATCGCTAACGAAAAAGTATTTCCATGCTTTCGTAAAAAAATAACCTTATTTCACCAATTGAAAAAAAATTCAAATATTTTGTCTCAGGAAATGCAACTAACAGACAAAATCAAGACAATCCTCTAACACTCGAAAATCCGTCTCGAAAGGTATCCCCATGCATGCATATCTAGTACGACTCAAGGTTTTGAAAGGTACTTTATATGTATATACTGAGTTCTTATACGTTCATTTTTTCACTTTCTTGCATATGTAGACCGTGCATTGATAACCAGTGCAAGCAGCTTTGGATAATCCAAGATACCTGTTGAACGTGTATTTTAAGAAGAATTTTCGTCCATAGCTAATTTTAAGACTTTTTTATCACTGCACATATGATTACAATAGTATCAAGGGCGGCGGAACAGGGGGGGCTAGGGGGGCTTTCAGAAGTAAAAGTGGGGGGGGCTTAGCCCTAAAAATTTCATGAAGAATGCCAGAATGAAGAATGAGAGATGCTTTTTCAAATGTAGAAGATATCACTACACGCGCTGTGCCGTTTTCAGTTTGTGTTTGCCCATGAAAAACTACGATAAAAGCGGCAAGTAGGCTCTGAAATGGCCATTTCCGAAGATCTAGAGCACTGAAATTCCAAAAAAAATTCCCTCGGCGCCAACCATGGTGGCGCCTCGTTAAATCAGCCCCCCCAAAATGTATTATGTTCCGCCGCCCCTGAATAGTATAGTACCGGGTAATAGTAGATTATACAATTGGTACTAAATGGAAATTGGTAATTTAAAGATGAATGAGATGTAAGGGGTCTGCAGTACTAGCCACAGAAAATTTTCTGTATTTTCAAGTCCCTATGACTTGATTAGATTCCAGCATTTTGGGGGACAATTACTGACGAATCCGTCACAACAGAGTGAGTTCTGTTGAGAAAATACCATTTATCACTGCACATTTCTTATTTTATCACTGCACATTCTATTTTTATCACTGCACACTAAAATTAGGTATGTTTTCGTCGCATGTAATATTTAGAAGGCACTGTTTATTGGACGGAATCCATCTGGAA